AAATTTCATTCAAAGTCAGGGAAATTTCTGTAAATTTCTCCAAAAATTAAAATTTTTTGGAAATTTAAAAATTTTTTAATCTAAAAAAAACTTGAATGGTTTTTATTACCATTTATTACTACCATTAGAAATTAATTTATTGTTAAATATGTCAGTAACCATATTTTTGTTCAAAAAAAGCAGAAATAAGTTTATTAAAAAGTTAGGGAAAAATCAAAAAATGTCAGGGAAAAGTCAGGGAATTTTTTTCTCAATCCTTGTTAGTCGCACCCTGATTTAACAAGTAAATTATAATTTATATTTATTATGTACGATATAAAAAAAATTTTTTTTTTTTTTTTAACTAAAGAAGATAAAAATGTGTGATCTTAGTAATTAGTGGACACTCTTGTCGGTAATGATTTCTTTTTCATATGTATATAGTTTCATTCTCTTGAATGTGGTGGCAAGTACCATCGAAATCGTTAACTGAAATAGCGGTAGCTTTTGACTGAATATGCAGCTGCAATTTATTGAAGCACCGCTTTACTCTTCGTGAATATATACATATATATATATATATATTTTTTTTTTTGCGGACGGTTGAAGGTGAAGAAGTATACGAGAAAGAAACTCATTGACGCGTTTTTTTTTTTTTTTTTTTTTTTACACGTGAGATTACTTTACGCTTGATGGTTATTTGCAGTCGTATTTGCTCCCCATGGCGACTGCAATTTGTAAGAAAATGTGCATATACATAAAAACAAGCCCATGAATACTGTTTGTGCTGTCAATTTATTGTTTAGCGAACTAGACAGCATTCCGTTTGAAAATTGTCCTCTTTGTTTTATTTCTATAAAAATATTGAAATGGTTTTCAATAAAAGAAAAATAAACAAAGAAAAAATTGAAAATTACTATTTTAAATAACTAATATTTATTTTCTTAGTCTTTTTTTGCACGCGAATATATATATTTTTTAGAAAAATGTTTTTTTAAGTAGAAAATTAATTTATGACAATTTACGTTTGAATTGAAACTGACAAACTTTGATGTCGAATTTAATCTCCGAGACAACTTAAGTCTAGTTCACACACGTGTTACTCGCGTGCGAAGTTATATGTTCCCACATGACGGTGATTGCACTGCACGTGCTGTCTAAAGCTGCCCCGTATGTTGTGATTAATAAAAAAGAAAAAAAAATAAAAAAAGAAACAGCAATAACCATTGAAGGCTGGTTTGGATTTACTTTATATGCGCAGACATCCGGAATAATTCCAGATCTTGTAGAGAAAATCGTTATTTATCTATCTGCATTTTGTATGTAGTGACAATTATTTTACAATACAGGTAGTACTACTAATTAGTAGTTTTGAAATTTTAATTTTCTTCTTTATTTATTTTTAAAAGTCTGAATAAAAGCGAGCGCACTCATTTATTCATCCAAAAAGTATATATATATATATTATTTCTCTCTCTTTCTTTAATTAACGTTTCTTTTTAAAAACTTTTTTTTGCTTTCTTTTATTTTCTCAATGTGGAAAATTTATAGTTTCAACTACTCTGGTGTATTTGTAACTATAATGTCAGTTGCAATGAGCATTAAATTCTGTATGTTTGCACTTTTTGTTTTTGCGCGACGGAAAACCATTGTAAACGTCAGCTTTATCAATTTTAAATAAATTTCACGACACAGTGTATATATATATATATATGTGTGTGTGTGCAGTTTAAGTAGAAAAGTTTTGTGAAAGCATTTGTCGTTGTAAAATGAGAATTGGCTTTACGTTAAAGTGATACAAACAATGTATGACAAGAGTGCAAAGTGCTATAGGGATCGACGTCGTCATCCGGACAAGAGGGAGAGAGAGAAAAAAGAGAGAGGGGGTGCCCGTTACAAAACGAGGCTTAAAATTCTCCTCGGGCAAAAAACATTGACGCATAAGAGAGAAAATAATCAGGAAAAGAAGCAGGCGCAAAGCGTCTACATCTAGGGTTTCGTTGGCTTTTTAAATTCAGATCAAAAGTTATTTGTATCTTATAATAAATAATTTATAGTTACATTATTTGTGAATTGCTATGGTTGCCATGGAAATGGTGGCTATGGAAATCAACTGTTGCCATAGTATCTATTGCCATAGTAACTTTTGCCATAGTAACTAACTGTTACCATAGTAACTTTTGCCATAATAACTTTTGCCATAGTAACTTTTGCCATAGTAACTAACTGTTGCCATAGTAAGTAACTGTTGCCATAATAACTTTTTCCATAGTAACTGTTGCCATAGTAACTAACTGTTACCATAGTAACTTTTGCCATAGTAACTGTTGCCATAGTAACTTTTGCCATAGTAACTTTTGCCATAGTAACTTTTGCCATAGTAACTAACTTGCCATAGTAAGTAACTGTTACCATAGTAACTTTTGCCATAGTAACTGTTGCCATAGTAACTTTTGCCAAAGTAACTGTTGCCGTAGTAACTAACTGTTTCTGTAATAACTTTTGCCATAGTAACTTTTGCCATAGTAACTTTTGCCATAGTAACTTTTGCCATAGTAACTAACTGTTACCATAGTAACTTTTACCATAATAACTTTTGCCATAGTAACTTTTTCCATAGTAACTGTTGCCATAGTAACTAACTTTTGCCATAGTAACTAACTTGCCATAGTAACTAACTGTTGCCATAGTAAGTAACTGTTACCATAGTAACTTTTGCCATAGTAACTAACTGTTTCCATAGTAACTGTTGCCATAGTAACTTTTGCCAAAGTAACTGTTGCCGTAGTAACTAACTGTTTCTGTAATAACTTTTGCCATAGTAACTAACTGTTGCCATAGTAACTTTTGCCATAGTAACTAACTGTTACCATAGTAACTTTTGCCATAGTAACTAACTGTTACCATAGTAACTTTTTCCATAGTAACTGTTGCCATAGTAACTAACTTTTGCCATAGTAACTAACTTGCCATAGTAACTAACTGTTGCCATAGTAAGTAACTGTTACCATAGTAACTGATGCCATAGTAAGTAACTGTTGCCATAGTAAGTAACTGTTACCATAGTAACTGATGCCATAGTAAGTAACTGTTGCCATGGCAACGGATGCTATGGTAACGTCGTTACCATGGCAACCATACGAGTGTACGACGGACGGACGGACGCCAAAGCGAAACCCTAAAAAAGAACCCTTCGGGTATTTCTAACCTTTTTTTTTTGAAAGCAATTTTTCAACTGAAAATATATAGAATATTAAAGTCATGCGTCGAGGTTATGGTTATGTTATACTCGTTATAGAAAACTTCATCAACTCCAATTCTCGTGTGGCTCTTTTTCTCTTTTTGTTTTAATTTTAATTTTTTTTCGTTTTTTTTCTCGTTTCCTGTTGGGTCTTTCTATATATCTTTCTTTCCTTCCTTCTCTCTTTCTTTCTTATTCATCCTTTTATTTTGCAAACGTCGCAAAAGCTTCCAAGAACGAATGTTAGTTTTTTTTCGGTTTTTCTGTCAGATTTTTCCATTTCTATCTCTCCCTCCCGCTGTATTACACTTGTGAGAAAAAAAGCAATTTTTGGAGAGTTAAAAGCAGTTTATTAGTTTTCCTGAGACGAAGGGATCGGAACTGTCAAATCAGATTTTCGTCAAAAAAAAAAAAAAAAACTTTCTTTTTTCTCTTCATCGTGGGCTAATGTAGTTATTGTCTCTCAGGGAGAATTTGTCAGTTTTATTTTTTTACTCAGAAAATTTTTTAAATTAGTTAAAAATAAATTAAATCAAAAATATTTGTGTCGTAGAAATATATAGAGAAATGATTTTTTTTTTTTACAATTTATAAAGAACTTTTTTTTTTTTTGCATAAAGTTCTTACTGTCAAGTATAGAAAAGAATTTGAAGAGAGAGAGGGGGTTTTCTCTTGTCATTTCTTGTTCTTACTTTCTGCGGATGTTTTCTCGCTCTTTTGTGTGCGCGCGCTCTCCCTACGGAAGGAACTTTAATCCTCGGACTACTCTTAAGGACCTGTCAATCTTGTTCGACGTTATCGTTCGAATCCTTCCTCTCTTTATATTGATGCGTACAAACACCGATAACGTAAAAAGGGTGCCTTTACGGAAACATCTCTGTCTTTTATTTCTCTTTTCAAAATTCATTTCTCATTCGCCTTCTCCTTATAGTATTTAAAGAGAATTGAAGTTGAATTAAAGAAATGTCTTCTTTTATCTTAAAATTAATTTCTCGACTTTTACAATTTTATCATAATTATTATTTTTTTTTTTTAAATACATATATTTATAAATTTTTTTTTAAAATACATTTTTTGTGGCTTTCTCTGAAATGAAAATCAAGGAAGAATGGCAGTCATTGAAACTTTTGGCACGTTGTAAAGCGACATTCATAGTATGTATGATACGAGTCATATCATGTCTCTCATTGAAGAGCGTGGCACGATTCAAAAGATTGTCAGTGTGTATAATAAACTATATATATATATATGAAACTTCCGTCGCGACGGGACCAATATATATATATATATATATATATATATATATATATATATATATATATATATTCAGGATAAGATAGTCAGGTAATCCTTTTAAGTCCCTCCAAAGCTGGGTCCTCCTCTCGAAGCTCTCGAATTTATAACGAGGAACCGCTTCTACTTAAATTAACTCCCGAACTTTGTCAGAGAAATTTCACACATAGAATAAGCTTACTGCTTATTAACCTTGGGGCAACAAAATAACTGCGCGCAACACAGCACGCGAGAGGAATAAACCTTAGTTTCCCATAATTGATCTAATTAACAAGTTCAGGATCTTAGAACTTGCTTCGTTATAGACAATGTAAATTAACTTAGATGCAGATATACACGTATATATTATATGTAGAATTCCAACAAAAGTATAATAAATAACAATCGCTTTTTCTGAGTTTATCTTTTTTTTTATTCTTAAATATAGTATTACAATTTATTTTTTAGAAAAAATAAAATTTTATATATATTTTTTTTTCTGTTACAGAAAATATAAAAATCGACGCTATTGGAGTATATTTATCAAGTCCCACTTAAATGCTGTGCGGTTGACGTCGGATGAAAGGAAGCATCAGCGAACACGATTTTGTGAGTACTGACATTTTCACAAATTACTTATATATATATTTTATTTTTTTCTCTCTGAAAAGAATTGAAATTATTCAATTTTAAATTTAATTTCGTTGACAAATCATTTTGAAAAGAAATAGATTATTAATTTTTAAAATTCTTTTTTTCGTAGAAATGAAATAAAATTCTTGATAATATAATTTTCGAAATTAATTTTAATGAAGTTGAAAGGGTTTTTTGTGAAATGAAAAAATAATTCCAATGAATTAATCGAAATTCGATATAATAGAGTACCTTCGATACATACTGTCAGATAATTGTGGTTTCAACTCAAAGGATTGTTTCAATTTAGTAATAGTTTCAATAAATCAGTGGTAGTTCCGCACATATATAGTGTATGATAATTTGTAATGAACGTAATTTCACTTCTCTCTCTCTCTGAATTTGAATTAATGAAAAGTCATCCACTAATTCAAGTATTATAAATGAATTTTTATTATAAAACTAAAATTATTATCATAATAATTTTATTAGGTATAATTATTGATAAATTTTCATTTTTCAAAATTTCGGTCATTTCACTGCAAAAACTAGCCGTCTTAAAACTGCAAAAAAACGTCTTGTTTTAAGACACATTTGGTGTCTTAGACGCGAAAAACGTCTTAAAACAAGACGTTTTTTGCACTTTTAAGACGGTCAGTTTTTACAGTGTTGCAATTTCGGACAATTCGGTGTTTTAAAAATTCGGTCAAATTCACAGAAAATTAAAAGGCATTAAAATAAGCTGCAACGTTTATTATTTTAATCCAATTTTGCTTATTTTAATCCATTTTGGTATTAAAATAAGCAAAATTGGATTAAAATAATAAGCGTTGCAGCTTATTTTAATGCTTTTTAATTTTCTGTGTTAAGATTCGGTATAATAAAAATTCGAATCACATAAAATTCGTTTGAATGAGAATTCTGATAAATTAAAATTCGATTAAATTCACAGTTTTTCTGAGGATCTCAAATTGAGACCATAAAGTGTATCAAATTGTTGTTAATGAAACATTTTGATGTTGTTTATGATCTCAATTTGAGAGCCACAGAAAACTGCGTGTTAAAATTCTTTCAAGTAAAAACTTGTGTGAAAAATTCCGTAAAATAAAAAGTTGGAGAAATACTAATTCGTAAAATGAAAATTCGTGTAAAAAATTAAAAATTCTTTAAAATAGGAAATAAATAAATAAAATGAAAATTCTAATGATTTTAATGTAATAATACGTTTATTTACAATTTTCTCTTTATCACAATATGTCAGCTATATTTGAAAGGGAAAAAAGCGAATAATAGAATAAATTTTATTTGCGGTTTTATTTAGTGATTGGTATATATGTTTAAGACAACAATAAATGATCGGTTTGTTAACATTAGTCAGTCAACACAGATTTCAATATAATTCCTAAAGTGGAAAACGATGGAATACCATTTGGAATATATTGTAAGCGCGCAATCATCTTGAAACATTTCGAAGGCAAACTCCGAAACGATATTCCTCAATGTATATTTCATCGATGTTGAGGAAAAAATAATGGCAATAACAGTAATGCTTGGCTTTGTGTGGCACTCATATTGAGACCTTTCACGTCAACTCGAATCGATTTTACTATTGAAGAGAAAGAGTATAAATATATGTGTTTGAGAGAGAGAGAAAGAGAGACTAGGTTATGAAGTTGTCGAGAAAAACTTGAGAATCCGTAATAGACATGCATGTGGGAACACGCATAAATGTATATCGAATATATATATATGCGTATGTAACAAAATCGACTACATACACGTATATATATTTATATCTGTGTGGAAATTTGAATCCAATTCAAATTGTTACGGAAATATAAATTCTACGGTAAAACGATGAGGATTCGATTCCCTTTTTATACAATTATCATGTTTCCATGGTTGGAATATATATATATTATTTCCTCATATATATATATAGAAGTTTCCAATCTTTTCATAATTTCATTCGAACATCTGTCTAACTATTTTATATTTATCAATTTTTAAAAGCCCTTGTTGATTTATATTTTGTCAAAATGCATTTCTCGTTTTAATTGAAACGAGATTTGACAATTAAAATTGAAATTTAACACTGTTCAGACTTTCAGAGAAAAAATGAAAATTTAATATTATTTGCGAAAATAAACGTCGATTGAGAGAGAAAATATTTATAATATTTGTTGCAAATAATTATTTGGTGTAAATAAAAATTTTATTTATGACATAATTTTTATTTACATCAAATAAATGGTCTATTTAGGTTTTTATTTAATATATTATATTTGAAGTAAAAAATTTCTCTGGAAATTATCATTTGGAATTAAGAATATATCGTCATTAATTTACAATTCGATTTTTCAAAATTATGATAGTTCGAATCCTCTATTTTTTATTTTAGCAAAAACTTTCCAATAATATATGAAAAGGCAAAATATTGGCAAATTTTTATTTTTTCTTTTATAAAGAAGAAAAAAAGATATTGGATTTATTTTTATTTGAGAATATTTATTGACTTCTCGTTTTTTTTTTTATTTTGTAAAATGGAAAAGAAGGCGTAAAAGACTCGAATAGCCATTTTCAATGTGACCATCGATCCTCCCTTGCAGCTGGTACAATGGTGTGTCTCGTTCCGTCCGAGAATTATTATACTGATTCAAACTGTAAGAGCGAGTTTCCCTTTAACAATATATATATATATATATACATTTACACAACAGCAGTTACGCAAGTTTCAACTAATGGTGGTTTTCTGAAAAGGAGATATTCAATAATAATAATAATAATAATAATAATATTATTATTGACTTGTGTTCATAAGCAAAGTCGTTGTATTCCAAGTATTCCGTAAATGTTTTCATATACAATATATATATTGGGAAACAATATTACTATACAATTGAATCGCATATTTGTGTGTCTGTGTGTGCGAAAGTCGTTGGTATCTTCTATTATCCTTTCCAAGTTCATTAATATAATTTAGTAAGCAATACCGTTTCTTTGTATAATAATGTATATATATTGGCATACCACGCACATAAACGGAAATTCGACTTTCACTTGCCAACATCAATAAATCATTGATTGAATTAATTGTATATGAATTAATCATAGGAAATATATTCAATTTATTTTTTTTTTTTCTTTATTCGTCCGACAAAAATTAACACTTTTTTTGCTCTACGAATTAGTTAAAAATAACTAAGATAGAATAAAGTCTGATTCAAATGGTAATATTTTTTACTAATTTTTGAAATTAAAATAACTAATTGATTATTATTTATGAAACTAGTTATTTAAAATATTCTTTTATTGTTAAAATAATTAAAATTTCAGTAACTTTAAAATTAGTCTATTTTTTTAGATTCTACTGAAAATTAGTTTTTTTTTTTACTAATTACTGAAGCGAAAAGTCAGCCAAAATTAGTTTATACATAATTCAGATTTAGAGAGTGTTAAAAAAAATTTATTTAATTCAAATACTCGATTAGGTTGACTATTATCAAATAAATATTTATTTGTATCAAATAATTATTATTTGAATCAATTAAATGGTATTTGCTTTAAATACAGAAATTGTTATGAGCCAAAAGTTTTGAACGTTCAAATGAACTAAATTTTTTTTGCAACTTCTTTAAGTACGAATTTTTATTACAAAATATTGTTTTAAATATATCTAAAAAGAAGTTATTAATTTAATAATTGTTTAATTTACTGTTTTATTTTACATTGCCATTATAATTTTTAATAATTTATAGATAGAAAGAAATATTTTGTTCATTTGAACGTTCAGAACTTTTGCCTCATAAATTATTGGTTAAAATACAATTTATTTAATTCAAATAAAAATTATTTGGTTCAAGTAAATATTTATTTGAATCAATTAAATGGTATTTGTTTCAAATAAAATTTATTTAATTCAAATAAAAATTTTTTTGGTTCAAGTAAATATTTATTTGAATCAATTAAATGGTATTTGTTTCAAATACAATTTGATTAATTAAAATAAAAATTATTTGGTTCAAGTAAATATTTATTTGAATCAATTAAATGGTATTTGTTTCAAATAAAATTTATTTAATTCAAATAAAAATTTTTTTGGTTCAAGTAAATATTTATTTGAATCAATTAAATGGTATTTGTTTCAAATACAATTTGATTAATTAAAATAAAAATTATTTGGTTCAAGTAAATATTTATTTGAATCAATTAAATGGTATTTGTTTCAAATAAAATTTATTTAATTCAAATAAAAATTTTTTTGGTTCAAGTAAATATTTATTTGAATCAATTAAATGGTATTTGTTTCAAATACAATTTGATTAATTAAAATAAAAATTATTTGGTTCAAGTAAATATTTATTTGAATCAATTAAATGGTATTTGTTTCAAATACAATTTGATTAATTCAAATAAAAATTATTTGGTTCAAGTAAATATTTATTTGAATCAATTAAATGGTATTTGTTTCAAATAAAATTTATTTAATTCAAATAAAAATTATTTGGTTCAAGTAAATATTTATTTGAATCAATTAAATGGTATTTGTTTCAAATAAAATTTATTTAATTCAAATAAAAATTTTTTTGGTTCAAGTAAATATTTATTTGATAATACTCAAGTAATTTAATATTTGAAAGAAAGAAATTTTTTTATTCAGTGTAATTTTTGAAAAATGTAATTATAGAAATTTAATAGAAAATTTCGACTCAAAGAATAATTATTGGTAGGGAAAAATTAAATGTCGGCCATTTGTGTGCGATCAGTGCGAAAAACTAATGATTTGAAAATAAAATAAAAACGAGATGTATATATATATATATATAGGAAAATTAACCGGCACGCATCATTGAATACAGGAAATGCCGATTTGTGCCGACAATGTTTGGAATTAAGATTTAATAATAGCTTATTCGAATGAAGAGAATGAACACTCGGGAAATTTTTTTTTTTTCTCCATGGGTATATTGAATGCG